GGAGAAGGGCAATATCGACACCCCTCTCGAGCTGGCTATCAGGAACGGTACTGATCGCTATAGCTTGGCGATTGATGCGCTGGACAATATTCCTAGCTTGGGTAACAAGGGTGCGGCGACGAGGGAGAAACTGCTTGATGAGCAGATCAAAGCGAAAAATTATGCGTACCATGAGGGTATGGATCCTAAGGAGACGGAGGACTGGGTTTGGCCTTTTTAGATCCTCCTATTGGAGATGTGATTGAGTGAGTGATTGTGGGTTCTTTCTTGTGGGCTGAGATTGAAAGTTACGGTGTTGTATGATAATGATAGCATGATTGATGCAGAACATGGCAGTTCACTAGCAAAGTTTGAACGTGAAGCAACAGTGTAGTGATGGAGAAATAGTCTGGAATTCCTAATGACCGACCTATGCAAAATGCAAAATGCAAGACAGCCTAAGCTGCCAAACCCAAAACGCCTTTTCTATGCAATGTGAATATAATCTAGGCGCGCACTGAGCGCGCATCCACATACCAAACGCCGCAAACACCATGCTTTCTAACTTCCCCCAAAAATTCAAACGGCAATAAAGCCAAGCCAAGCCGAAGCTCTAGAAATCATAAGAAGTATTAACAACGCTCAACCCCAGTCTCATATTATCCACCGTCTTGCCCCCCACACCTTTCAGCATAGCCAGCGACTCCAAATCCATAATCTCAGCATCATCCATTTCGACCAGGCAGTTCACAATGTTATCCGCTTTCTTTGCACCGACACCCTTTAACGCTTTGATCTGGTTGACGTCGCGTGAATTGATGATCTTGAGGAGGTGGCTGGTACGAGGCGTTTGTTGGACAGAGGCAGAGGCGGAGTGAGACGGGAGATCGGCAGTAGTAGCAGTGGTGGTCAGAGTCGTGGTCGGGGCAGTGTCGTCGCGGAAGATGGGCAGTTTCTTAGTCGTCTTTTTCGGTTTGCGGGCGGGCTTGGATTTGCTGGTGTACTGGAAGCTGGTGTCGGAGGCGTAGGAATCTTCGTGGTCGGAGGGAGGCGCGGGAGCGAATTCTTGGTCATCTTCGGAGTCGTCTTTATAAACCATCTTTGGCTTCGACTGTTTCTTTTCGACGGCTTTGAGGGGGGCCATGAGGACGTTCGAGGGGGGCGCTGCGGCTGCGGTGTGCGAGGGGAGCTCCACGGGGGCGGACACATGCTTTATGGACTCTTCCTTCTTTGCGCGAATCCGGTCTTCGAGGGCCTTCATCTTGGATTCTAGCTTGGCGTTGCCGGGGAAGAAGGGCTGGGCCAGGTGGTACATCCTAAGTGCGCTGGCGTCCTCCCCACGCATGTGATGTTGCTTCGCCATAAGCAGGAATTGCAGGCCCTGCGACTTCCCGTCCTCCTCGTGTGCATCGATACGGTGCTCGAGCTCGTCCAACCGCTTCTGCAACTCTGCAGAAAGCGCTGGCGCAGCGGTACCGGCGTCTTGCAGTGCCTTTTCTGCCAGCCTCTCGTCGACCTTCTGTGCAATGAGAGCCTCAATCGAAGCCTTTGTCAAAGCGGGCTCTCTGTTCGGTATCCGTGAGGTGTTATCCCCAGTTCGGAATGCCTTCGTCGGTCGCGTCGCGAATGTATTGCTGGGTTCAGCTGCTCGTTTAGAACCCTCCGTTCTTCGCACTCCTTGGTTCTGTGCAAGGTTGGAAACGCGAGGAGCAGCAGCAGCAGCCTTGCGAGCGTCGGAGTATACAGAGAAGGCCTTGGTAGGCTTTTCTCCTTTCTTCCCCTTCTCTGGCTCCGGGATGTTCGCGTTGTGTGCGGCAGCGATGGATCGTAGCGGTTGCCGTGACATTGTTGCTCCGCCGACACTACTAGTTATCGCCAATGGTTTGACTGCTGTCCTGTACATGGGGTCATTCTCCACCTCTGCGATCTCGATCTTCTTCGTCCGGCTAGCGAAGTTCAAGGAACTAATGGTGTCGAGGTGGTATGCGCGGGTTGGCGCAAGGTTCAGAATCATGACAGTTAAGCCCTTATTCTGACCCAGCGATAAGATTCTCGTCATCTTGGACTCGCGGTACGGGATCCGGCTGGCCTTCTTGTTCATAGCTTCTACGCATTGAGCAAGTACGAATAGCGACTTGTTGATGGCCGAGCTCTCGACCAGACGCTCCTTGTTGTTTTCGGTTCGTCGGTTGTCTTCGGATCCTGCAAGATCAATGCAGGATGCTCGGCTGACGCGAACCGTGTCTTCGGTGGTTTGCGTGATCTTCACGCAGAGAACGGCATGGGATCGGGAGGAATGCGCGTTGAGCTGCAGCATCATTAGTAATGTTTACCTCTAACGCGTGTAAAGCCTCACCTTAGTAGCGGATGTTGACCTGTTCATGTTGGCCTGGTCATAAAGCTGCTCAAACTCCTTAAGCGTTGTGCATGGCTTCTCTGTAAGACCCACGACGACAGTCTTGCCCTTGTTGTCTCGGATGGGCAGGCCAGACGGGGTGCGTTTCTCCGGCGGTTCGAACAGATCGTAGACGCGATCGCAGTAGATCTCGAAATATTCCAGGGCAACCTCGACGTGTGTGGCACCGGCCGTGTCCTTCTCGATCTTCTTGCATCGTCGGTATATCGAGCTCAACAGTCTTGGGATGACACCGCGGTCCGCCAGCGACTTTCCTCCGCGCATCGTATGCGTCTTGCCGGTGCCGGTGCAGCCATGCGCGAATATCGATAGATCGAAGCCATTGAACAGGTGCTTCACCGTCGGCGCGACTGGTTTGGAGTCAATTCAGGTCCGAAACGCGTCCGTCGCGAACTCACTCTCGGCATCGAAAAGCTGCTGCTGCGTCGCGTCCTGCTCGTACACAGAGCTGAATTGGAAGCTGAAGGACTCGGCCTCGTTCTTCGGACTCGGTATCCGCACGACCGCCGGGGTGGTGTCGCCCTCCAATGTCTCGGCGGTGACGATGGTGTCTTTGTCGAGCTCCTGTTTCAGTAGAGGACGTATCCTCGCGACGACGCGTACGCTCATGGTGACGACCGGCAAGGAGGATGGCGATAGGGTGAAAAGATACGAAAAACTCTACGTCTACAGAGAAAGGAATGCCAGACCAACCGGACGCGACGTCGAGACTCGAGGCTCTGGCGACATGCAAAGGGCCTGTCCTAGCGTAAATGGCGGTCTGTGTTGTCCTTCCTTGTCGAAACTCGCCTGTTGCCCCGAGCGACCCTCACCCGCCCAGACGAATGAACATCGGGCACGTGCAAACCCGCCAACACATCTCGATCCACTACAATATCGTCGATAGCTATAGCTGATGCTTGCAGGCATCTAGGTCGTCTTCTATCGTGACCTCGACCTTGGTGTTGTGGAGAAATCCCCACAGGGTTCCGGTCTCTTAACGCACTCAACAGCCGAGAGACAGCACATACTGCATGGAGACGCGGAAACCGGCAACACTTGACAAACTCAGATCGCGGAATCGAGCCTCCTTCCGAAGAGTTATTTCTGGCATATGGAGACCTGGAGGCTCTGCGCGGGTAGCAGACGTTCGGCCAGGCGCTTCAAGGTCGTGGGCTCAACGAGGCCATGCCGCCATCTCATTGGCCCGAGGATGAAACATGTACCCAGCGCATCAGAGCACCACAGCCACTCCTCCAGTTACCAGCGCTACTTTCCTATGGAGCTTGAGTGACACGCCCAAATTACAGGCAACTGGAGCCATGCTGGGCCAGTACTACTCTTTGTTCCATTGTATACTCAAACCGTGCTCAAGGCGGCTAATGCAGCTTCAAAACCCGATGCCAGTCCGCGTAGCAATGAGACACCGCTGTAGCCATCTGAACGTTTAGCCTGTGGTTTGCTTGAGACGAACGATTTTCGTTTCTTTCCTAGGTGTCTTTTCTTACCGTCTGTTTCTTCTCCTTGTCGATCGTTTCTCTTAATCGTTCACTATCTCAGTTTCGTCTTTCAGTCCATCGCTTCCTTATTCTGCCTGCAAGCGCCGTCTTTCTCCTTCATCCACTCTTAATAATTTGTCGTCTTGACGATGGCTATCTTCTCCACAATTCTGCTGCTGGCAGCTTGCTCTACATCTATAACCGCTGGTCCAGTTCCAAAGAACCACCGAAGACAACTGTGAGGAATACAGGCATATGCTCGAGAAACAAGCACTGACTTCGTGTAGTTTTCCTAGTTACGCCAACACTACTTCAACAATCGCGTCAACATCAAGACAGCAAGTCGCAGAAGCAGAGACCGCTATCATAGTGGAGCCCATCCAGCAAACCATCTTCTCTTCAATAGCACCAGCTATCACGTTCGTTCTTCCTGACGGGAAACCACTCGTGACACAAGATCCGCAGACTGTGTTTTCTACTTCCTACATCACACCATCACCTCTGCCAACCACAGAGGAGACTTCAAGCGCAGCGGCTACATCCTCAGTCACACCAAGTCCGAAACCAACGCCCACAGAGAGCAGCGATGTGCCGGTATCGTCGGCATTGTCAAGTTCGGTTGCCGCCGTAGAAAACAAGACAGCAAGCGAGACAAGTCGAAAGGCTCCTATGTTCACCTACTCGCCCATAGAAGAGACGTCCACCTCGCTTGCCACTCCAACCGTACCGGCGTCAAGTGCTGTCCTAGCATCTACCACAACTGCACCGGCGACGAGTGCGGTCCAAGCACCTACCACTGGCGGCTTGCCTGGCTTCACTCATCCCGGTGCGGCACCCTCAGGCTCGCCCTCTGTCAACACCACCACCAGTGCGATTATCACCAGCCTATCTTCTGTGATCGAGTCGGTCATACAAGCGCCATCTTCCACCCCTCTGGCCAACTCAACTTCCCTGGCAATCCCAGCCCCGGTATCGAGCGGATCGTCTACAGCTATCCTCCCCTCAGAGACCGCTTCAGACACCATCGACGTAACATCGCGCATCATCGTCACGCAATATACCACCATCTACGCGACATCCAAGCCACCTCAGACACCTGCTCAAGAGTCAGCCATGCCAACTGAAGCTCAAGAGTCCGCTCCACTGGTTTCTTCAACATCAGAAGTGGCTGGTACTCCTATGCCCGCTCCTTCAAACGCTCCTGCTGAAGTCTCGCCATCGGCATCCCTCCAAGTACCGCCTGTAGTGATTGTAACATCGTACACTACAATCATGCCGACAGCCACACCACAGCCAAGTGGAGCACCCGAGATACCCGTTTCTTCCGCTGTACCAGAGCCAGTCATATCAAGCTCAGTGGCCTTGTCTTCTACGCTCGCAGCCTCGTCTTCTGAAGTAGCAGAGCCAACACCCAGCGAACCCGCACCATCATCTTTGACATCGGAGTTTCCTGCGCCTACACTCACGCCGTCATCCTCTGTTGCACCAAGCATGCCACCCGCCCCCTCAAGCTCCGCACAACCATCACCGTCTTCCCCCTCTATGGCACCGCCTCCAGAGTCTTCAGCACAACCATCTCCATCCTCCATCGCGCCACCTCCAGCAGTCTCCGCATCCGCAACGGCATCTACATCCGACGCCGTGCCAACACCACCAGCACCAGCACCCACAGATATGCCATCATCGGGACCACCACAACCAGAACCAGTACCTTCGTCAACGACATCAGAAGGCCCGTTGATCATCACACCGATAGCACCGAGTCAAATATTCACCGTGACTGTTACTGCGTCGCCGACTGGGAAGGAGACAGTCACGGAGACAGCTACTGTTACTGTGACGGCTTGAGGAGTGCGGGATGGGGATGGGAGGTGTGAAAAGTTTCTTTTGATGGTGAAGTAGGGGGGTTGCACTGGTTTGCATGGTGGAGGGATAAGTTTAATTTGATACCCAAGATTTGAGAATTATATTTGTTTTACTTGAACCAGTAGCTTTCTTGTAGCAGAGCTGTGATCGTGAAGTCAATCTTGAGAAGACGAATGAAACATTCGGAAGCATGAAGATAGCTTGGTTACTGGCTGCGATGAAGTGCAGTATCCAATTTCAAGCTAGCTGGAGATCATTTGCACATAGGGTGCAATGCATACTCTCACAAATCTCGCCTTCACATCTTCAACACTTCGAGTAGATAAGTCTACACTTAATACCCACTCTGCTCCTTCCTGCTACCACCCTCAGCCCCACCTTCCGCATCATCATCCCTATTGGCCTTCGCATCGCCAGCAGCTTCCTGAATACCCTGCGCATCACCTCGCAGCTTCTCAAAGTACGCTTTGACATCCTCTGCCCCAACAGCCTGACCGGACTCAGCGAACGGCTTCAAGAACGCCGAGACCTTGTCTTTGAGATGCGCATACGCCATTGCACCTTGGATAGCACGCACGCGGTCCATGTTGTTAAAGGCGGCTTCGCCACGGTCGAGGATACTTCCTGTACCGACGGACTGTCCGCCTTCTTCTCCGTCTTCGGAGACGGGGGGCTCGTAGGTGTCTTCCTCTTCGAGGAGTTGCGGGTGGGCTTTTATGTGTGGGTAGCAGGCGTCGCAGTGGCAAAGGTGGTCGCGGAAGTCGGGCTTGAGGAAGAGGGAAAAGGGCGTTGTGAGTGCGGTTGTAGGAAGAGGAGGGAGGGAAGCGTGCTTTGGGCCTTCTGGTGATTCTGGCTTCTTGGGGGTTATGGGCAGCGTCGTTGTGTCTTCGGGGATGCTGGAGAGTGTGCCGCTTGGATCTTCGGACTTTTGGCGCTTAGCCGGAGCTGGAGCTGTCAGGTGGGATGATGTCTGCTGCTCTTCGTCTTCGTCGGAAGCTTTGCGTTTCTTTGAGTCGCCATTTGTCTCCTCTGGAGCTGGGGCGGTTGACTTCTGGGCATGAGACAGGGCCATGGCTTTGTCGTGATAGACTGGTGCGAGGAATCCGGTTGAGCCAGCGTACTGTTTGATCCATGGATTGGCCTCGACACACTTGTAGCAGAGGAAGTGATCGAAGTCGTCTTCTTCAGGGAAGCCTGGAGGAAGTGGTGGATCATCGTCCTCTTCTGCGCCAGCATATGCTGCAATGTCGTTGCCATCAACCCCATTGCCATTTGTCACTGCAGCTGCGATGTTCGCTGGAAGTGATGCCGTATTCTCGTCCGCGTGCCCGTTGGTCTTGGTGTCATCTGTTGCGGGCTTGTCGGTCTCCATCGCATCTACTTTGTCATTCTTCTCTTCCACTTTGGGCTTCTCGATCATCTTGCTGTACTCCGCCCGAGTGAAGCCTACGAGGCATTCAGGATGCCACCAGTCTTCACCACAGCCGCCCTCCTCGCAAGTCCCAAGTCCGAGACATTGGAACATGGTGCCCTTCTCTTGTTGGGGATCATAGTCCTCGCCGCAGCCACAGAATTTGTTCCTGAAATTCTGGTTGTACTTGTTCGTCTTGGCTGGCTCTTCGCCCGTCACATCGCCTTTACGTCCAGTTTCTGCGTTGAGACGAAGCGTGCATGGCGTCATATCCGGTATCCTGGTAGTTCCACAGTCGCATATGAAGTTGCGCTTGTTGAAAAGCTCAACAAGGGTGTGTTCGCCATGGCAGGAGATGGAGCATGAGTAGCAGACGCCTGCTGGAGTGTATTGCTGGGCAGACGATGCGGGCGCGGGGTTGCAGGTGAGGCATGCGTAAAGGCTCTGTCGCAGAGGGCCGAGGTCGCGTGTGCAGGTATCGAATTGCTGTTTCTTGTCAGTCGAGGCGCATTCGGAGGATGTGGGTACTGACGTAGGGGAGAGCCTCGCGTGCTTCTGCCTCGAGGCTAAGTTGCTCTTTGATAAAGCTGACGGAATTGATTTAGTCTCCATACAGACAAGAGCATGGAAGACACGTACTCAGCCGCTGTTTGTGAGCTCTCCGATGCTTGCGATATGCTGCTGGTGCGCGGCTTCTCGGACATGGTCGTTGACTGGGAATCCGCCATGACTGCGATAACGCGCAACCACTTAATTCGAGATGGAAAGCAATTCGATGTAGAGCACAAGATCAATATTCTTCAGAATGCGAGATACTAGCAGAGTAAATTCGGTCGTGGAAGTGCGTGGGAAACTTTGGTGTGAGCAGTGAGGAAGGCGCTGGATGCGCCTGATCGCTGATTGGCTACCGCATCACCACTTTACGCGTGGAAAAGGAAAGCGCGACGCGGTCGTGTCGCTGGCCCTTACTACCCCTTCTCCCGCACCCTCAACCCCGCTTCGCAGCCCCATATCATTTTACTTTATCCCGGTGATACCAGTAAAGAACCGTGCTTTAAGTGAACATGAGGTATGTGTCTCAGAGTTCGACGAGACTCGTAGGCCGAGCAACGACGAGCCCCTCTTTACCACAACAACAGGATATTGACGAACACTAGTTCACCACCACCACCCCTTCGCTCCAACATGTCGTCCGCAAACCGTGGCGTAGGCCCTAGCAGCAGGAGCAACAAACGCGCAAGGGACGATGACGATCTCCCCTCCTCAGCGGCGCATCCGCCGTCCAGCCGTGAGTGCGACAAAAACATGCGACACAGCAATGGCTAATCAAGTACAGCAATGGCCTCGTCACCACCTATGCTCCCACAAGACGACGATGCAGACATGCTCGACGATGACGACATCATTCGCGACGTAGACGATCTGGACGAAGACGCAGAAGAGGCGGAAGGAATTGATTTGTTCGCCGACGACTTCGAGAACGACTACGGAGCCCGAGAGAACGATGCCTATGAAGGCCAGGGCATCGATGACGAAGGAGACTATGAAGAACTAAGTCTCGCGCAAAGGCGAGAGCTTGATGCGCGACTTAATGCCCGCGACAGGGAGGCTAGACGTCGCATGCCCGCTGCTTTCCTGCCAGACGAAGACGAAACGGATGGCCTGGCAGGTCTGATGGGACGTCGTCGTGTTCGGAGGAATCGATATGACGAAGAAGACGACATGGACATGGACAACGATATCATGAACGAGGAATTGACGCTTGAGGCCCTCACCGATGTGAAGGCCAACACCCTGACAGATTGGGTGGCCCAACCTCAAGTCGCCAGGACCATCGCGCGCGAGTTCAAGTCTTTCCTGACAGAATACACCGACGAGCACGGTCACTCAGTATACGGAGCCCGCATCCGAACCTTGGGAGAGGTCAACGCTGAGTCCTTGGAAGTCTCATTCGACCACCTTGCCGAGCAAAAGGCTACCTTGGCATACTGGCTGGCCAACACGCCCACTGAGATGTTGAAGATCTTCGACCAGGTGGCCATGGAAGTCGCTCTCCTCCACTACCCAGACTACGAGCGTATCCACTCCGAGATCCACGTCCGTATCACCGACGTACCTGTTCAATATACACTCCGCCAGCTCCGTCAATCGCATCTCAACAGTCTGGTTCGTGTGAGTGGAGTCGTCACCCGCCGAAGCGGAGTCTTCCCTCAACTCAAATACGTCAAGTTTGACTGTACCAAGTGCGGTGTCACTCTGGGTCCCTTCCATCAAGATTCAAACGTTGAGGTCAAGATCTCTTTCTGCCAGAACTGCCAATCACGCGGTCCTTTCACAGTGAACTCCGAGCGGACAGTCTACCGAAACTACCAAAAGCTCACTCTACAAGAGTCTCCAGGCACTGTGCCGGCAGGACGTTTGCCCCGTCATCGGGAGGTCATCCTTCTTTGGGACTTGATCGACTCGGCAAAGCCTGGCGAGGAGATTGAAGTCACCGGCATCTACCGTAACAACTACGATGCGGCTTTGAACAACAAGAACGGTTTCCCAGTCTTTGCAACTATCTTGGAGGCCAACTACGTTGTCAAGTCTCACGACCAGCTGGCTGGCTTCCGGTTGACCGAAGACGATGAGAAGGAGATTCGACGACTGTCCAAGGATCCTCGCATTGTGGACAAAGTCATCAACTCGATCGCCCCAAGCATCTACGGACACACTGACATCAAGACTGCTGTAGCACTCTCTCTGTTTGGCGGTGTCAGCAAAGAAGCTCCTGGTCGTCACTCGATCCGTGGTGACATCAACGTCTTGTTGCTTGGAGATCCCGGTACTGCCAAGTCTCAGATTCTGAAGTATGTCGAAAAGACCGCCCATCGTGCTGTCTTCGCCACTGGTCAGGGTGCTTCCGCGGTCGGTCTTACTGCTTCCGTCCGTCGTGATCCCATGACTAGCGAGTGGACGCTTGAGGGTGGTGCGCTTGTGCTTGCCGATAAGGGTACCTGTTTGATCGACGAGTTCGATAAGATGAATGACCAGGACAGAACATCCATTCACGAGGCCATGGAGCAACAGACTATCTCCATCTCCAAGGCTGGTATCGTCACAACCCTTCAAGCTCGCTGTTCCATCGTAGCAGCTGCCAACCCCATTGGTGGTCGATACAACTCAACAATTCCTTTCTCGCAGAACGTAGAGCTCACCGAGCCTATCCTGTCTCGATTTGACATTCTGTGTGTCGTACGCGACACTGTTGACCCAGCAGAAGATGAACGTCTGGCCAAATTCGTTGTGAACTCTCACGGCCGTGCTCACCCACTTGTCAACTCAGCATACGGATATTCTGACAAGGCAAAGGCGACACAGAACGGCGACGACCAAATGGAAGTCGACGGTGACGCACCAATCAAGGAGGGTGAGATTCCACAAGATCTGTTGAGGAAGTACATTCTTTACGCGAGGGAGAAGTGC